GTCTTCCTGTATCTATACAAAAAGGACATTGCATTAAAGTATTCAAAAGACATAAGGAGAGGAGAAAGGCAGTATTAACTTACAGTATAAGTCCAGTGTCCTAGAAGGATGAGACCTTACAAATTGGTTGGGGAAGAGAGCATAGAAGTGGTTACAGACAAAGTAAGTAATGGGAGTGACTCGGGAGCACTGTGATGGGTGCAACCTGATAAACCTAAGCTCCTTGTACTCCAACACTTTCTCTGCCTCTGCCTTGATTCTGCTCTGCTCTTTACTCATTACATTCCTGCCGATGAATTTTCGCAGTGATTTTTGGTCACATCTGCATTATTATTATAGCTTATCTGTCCATTGGTGTCAGGGTAGCAGCAGTTACAGGCTGACGCCTTAGTTCACCATTGTAAGTAACCAAGAACTCCGATCCACGCCTGGATTTTCTGTTTGGGTGTGTGTCTGCTTTGGTTTTGTTTGGGGGCCACACCTGGCGGTGCTCCAGGCTAACCTCCTGGCTCTGTGCTCGGGGGGTCACGGCTGGCGGGGCTCCGGGGATTGAACCCGGGTCGGCTGTGTGTGTCAGGCCAGCGCCCTCCCCGCTGTGCTGTGCCCCCAGCCCCACACGGATGCCTCGCCCTGCCTTTCCCCACTGTGGATGTTGCTGTGGTAACGGGCTGGGGAGGCTCACACTTGCTTGTTGCACCCCCACATTTACTGGCAGGGATTCTGGCAGCTCCAGTGGGTGTGCTTGCACATTTTCCCTGGGTGCTTGCGGTGGGGGGCGCTTGGACTCCCCACACTTTAACTGGCGGAGCTGCACATGCCTGTCACGGCGCCCCACACAGTTGGGGTGCCCTCCGTGGTTGGCGGTGGTTGTGGTCTGTCGGCTCTTAACTGGGTGTACTCTGGGGTCTTGCTGTTCCCATGCCCCCCATAGCACTGCAGCCAGACATCCCACATTGCTGGGGCCCTCAAACAGCAGAGCTGCCAGGCTTGCCCTGGGCGCATGTGGGCAGCCCGGGGATCAAACTCTAGACCTTCACCTTGGCAAGGCCCCGGCCCCAGAGCAGGATTCTCCAGCCACAGTGTTGCGTGTTCGTCTCTCTGTGATCTTTGTGACTGGGAAGGAGGACTTACGGTCGCCGTGAGCACCCGCCGTGGCATTGCTGCTCCTTCTGATGGCCGTTTGGGAGGGGGCCGTGCCTCGATGAGTCGGCTGTGGGGTCAGGGCAGGCTGCAGCTTCCGCCTCCCTGCGTCCGACCAGCCTCCCGACAGTGCTCCTCCGAGCAGCTAGTCTGGCCGCGAGCAGAGTGACTCCTGACTCGCAGCTTGTCTCAGCTGCATCCCAGGTGCCGCCCGCTGCCGCCGGGCCTGTCCTTGCTCTGGTGGTTAAAGCAGAATTTGATTGAAGTGGTTGATTGGAACTGTAGAATTCTGCCCCATCTCCCAAACTTGTCTGCACGGAGACCCTTTACAGTAAACACCTGCTGCTCTGCTCTGCTGTTGGAGCTCACAGGAGAAGACAGAGTCGAGCGAAGGTCAGCCCTTCTCCTGACGGCAGGAGTGACCAGGCACCGCTCTCTGCAGCAGATGGCGAGGGGACAGCCGCCTGCCGCCTGGGCTGTTCGGTTTGCGCCCATGGCGCGCTCTGCCGCCTGGTGGCCTGCTGACTGCTGGGGGTTCTGGTTTGCGTACTGCTCTCTGAAAATGCCAGCTGCTCCTGGAACCCAGATTTCTCCTACCCAGCTCAGATTTCTCTCCTGCCCCGGACTGTGGAGCTGGTTCCTTCTGGTTCCTTCTCCCTGGGACGCCCCCTGCTGGCGGGGACTCCGCAAGTGAGTGTCCCTCTTTGCTGCCCCGGCTCTGGGCTCCACCTCAGACTCACTGTCCCTCTGGAACTGCCCGAGCTGGACGGGGTTGTCAGGAACAGAGCTGGGGGAGCCGAGAAGCCCCTCTGTGCCCCCCACAACGCAGAGGTCTCGTCCCTGGGAACCCTGGGCTGTGGAACACGGCCGCATAGGTCTTGGAAGCGTGGTCTTGGGGGCGGGGAATACGGCTCACGTGGCAGCGCACACATGGGGAGGCTCCGGGTTCGAGCCTCAGCACTGCATGGCCCCGAGCACTGTCAGGTGTACCCCATCCTCCTACCCCCACCCCCCAGAGGGTCTTGGGAGCTGAAAGAGAAATCAGGAGGAATGTTCTTGACGTGCCTGAGAGGCAGTTGTGCCCATGGGCCCGTGGGCCTGCTGCGTTACACGGGGCAGGGCTGGAGCCAGGATGCGGAGGGGTGCGAGCAGGCCCACGGCGAGCCTACCTTGGATTGCCGACTCCACGGCCAGAGGGCAGTGAGTGATGCGTGGACTTTGGTGCCGGGCGGCCGTCCCGAGGAATGCAGCACAGGCGACGGCTGCTCTCGGTCCGACGCTGCTGGCTTGAGCCGGGGAACCTTCCTGGGTTAATCCAAGGCCTGGACGAGAGCTGCCGGCAGGTCTCCTGGGCGCGCACCGCAGGGTGCACTGCTGTGTGTGGCCCACCGCGCCCAGCCAGGTGTGCCCTCCAGTTCACACCACTGAGTCAGCCTGGAGCCGAGGTGTGGGGACGCCACGGCCCGGAGTGGGAGCACCACAGCCCAGAGTGGGAATACCGCAGCCCAGTGTGTGAACACCGCAGCCCAGTGCGGGAGCGCGACAGCCCAGTGTGTGGGAGCACCGCAGCCCTGTGTGGGAGCATCTCAGCCCAGTATGGGAGCACCAAGGCCCTATGTGGGAACACCACAGCCCAGTGTGGGAGCACCGCCACCCTGAGTGAGAGCATAAAATTACACAATCTGCTGCTACATGGGTGGATCCAGAGAGTATCCCGCTGAGTGAAGTCAGTCAGAGGGAGGGACAGATTCAGAAGGACGTCTTACCATGTACAGTATATAAAGAAGCCTAGTAGAGGAATCACAGTGGCCTGAAGGCAGAAGAGCCTGAGAACGGGTCTTCAGTAGGAAGCTGTGAGTGGGTGGGCAGTCTGGGGAAGGACTGGTGCTGGCCGGGGCTGGCATGAAGCCCTGCCGTTCCAGCACTGTCACACGCGGTGCGTGCCATAGAATTGAAAAATAAAGATAGGGCACACGAGCACAACTCAAAAATATACAAAGGCCACGGCCACCGTGAGACCCAGTCACTGCTAATGCCACGGCCTGCCACTGCCTCTGTGACTCAGTCGCGGGAGGGGGAGAGGTGCGCATCTGACTGCTCTCACGGGAAGCCTTCAGCCCAGGCGTCTCTGGCCGCTCAGGGCTCCGTGCTCAGGCCATCCCAAGGCACAGGCCCCCCCTGCATTCTCTCCTCTCCACTGCGTGGGGCAGCTCCCGCCAGGGTGTTGCTGGAGTGTATCTGCGTGGTTGCCCACTGGTTCTGCTGACCCAGAGAACCCTATCGAAGGTGACTAGCTCTGACGGTGGCCTCAGGGACCCACGTTTTGGGCTGGTTATAGAGATCAGGCCTGCAGGGAGGAGCCGGTCCAGGGGGTCTGGGGCTTCCCCGTCGGTGCTCCAGGGGCCAGCCAGCCAGACAACACGGGGCCTGGGGATGGGGCCTAGCTGGTGCTGCTGGGGGTGTGAGGGGACATGTGTCTAGGAGCTGGACGCTGCTCACGGGTGAGCTGCCCTGAGCCGTCTCCCCTGTCCTGCTATTATTCCCCCCCCCCCTTATTTAAATTACAAAGTTGGGCATGGTGCATTTGTTACGGGCATCCACTATCCCAGCGCCAATCCCACCGCCAGCGTGCCTTTCTCTCTGTTAATTCCCGTGTCCCCAACCACCCCCACGCTTGCCCCCTTAGCAGGCACAAAATAACTTATTTGATATTGCTCGTTGCAACTTAATAATGGCCAATGCGGGGCTGGAGCAATAGCACAGCAGGTGGGGCGTTTGCCTTGCACGCGGCCGACCCAAGTTTAATTCCCAGCATCCCATATGGTCCCCCGAGCATCACCAGGAGTAATTTCTGAGTGCATGAGCCAGGAGTAACCCCTGTGCATCACCGGGTGTGACCCAAAACAAACAAAATAATAATAATGGCCAATGCTATTATTAAAAAACGCTTCAGTGAGGGGCTGGAGCAATAGCACAGCGGGTAGGGCGTTTGCCTTGCATGCGGCCAACCGAGTTAAGATTCCCAGCATCCCATATGGACCCCCAGGCACTGCCAGGAGTGATTTCTGAGTGCAAAGCCAGGAGTAACCCCTGAGCATCTCCGGGTGTGACCCAAAAAGAAAAAAATAAAGTAATAACAATAAAAAAAATGCTTCAGTGAAAGAAAACTTGTGAAAATTGTTGGATCCCATCCCGGGGACATTTAGTCCTTGCCTGCGGGTTTCCTGAGCCGTTGTTGCTGGGCGAGCCTTCTGTGCTCCTGTCTAGTGAACTTAGTTGGCGTCTGGGTTACATCCCTGTCTAATCTGGTATGCCCTGTTGTTATTCGTAGTGTTGGGGCCACACCAGCAGTGCTCAGAGTTTACTCTTGGCTCTGTGCTCAGGAATTCCTTTCTATGGTGCTGACAGGTCAGCCGGAAACAAGGCAAGCACCCTGCCCGCCGGACTGTCTCTCCAGCTCTCTCCCCATATCATTCATAATTCTGTAAAAGAAAGTTTTAGCAACCTGTCATCCAAGATATTTTTTTTGGGGGGGGGGCATGCTGGCACACCCAGCAGTGCTCAGAACAACTCCTGGCACTGTGCTCGGGGTCCCTTGCGCTGTCAGAGGTGGGTCGGCACCTCCCAGTCACACAGCCCTGGTTCTTAAAACCAGCTCTGTTGTCAGATGAACCCAGCTCCCCAGACTGGAACTTCTGGAATGATGAGGCGGCAGAATGCCCCGGTAGCTTATAACATTTAATGAGAAAATAATTCTCTTGGAAGTTGATCCCGCAGGCCGAGCTCTGGAGATGTGCTGTTGTCACTTTATAATAAACCTCGGCCACTGATTGTCCTCTGTCCTTCTGAACCCCTTGCAGAGGTACGAAGACTACGGAATGACCCCGCCTTCCGGCCCGCTGCAGAGGTAAGGCCTCGGGGAAACGCGTGCCAGCCTCTCCTGGGTTGGGTTGGGTTGTTTGTTTCCGGGAACTTTCTGTTAGCTGCTCCCAGCAGGCGGGAAGCCCCGAGGTGCCCAGAGAAGGAGAGCAAAGTTGGTCTTTCAAGTTCTGTTGTCGGTAATGAGCTACGAGATCTTTTCATGAGGCTGACTGGCAAAGCAAGACCAGAGTTCGTTTGTTCATTCATTCATTCATTCATTCATTCCTTTCTGATGCTCGAGCCATGCTGGGCAGCAATGGGGGAAAGCTAGAAGAGTAATTCAGGGGCTGGAGTGATAGCACAGCAGGGAGGGCATTTGCCTTGCACGCGACCGACCCTGGTTCGATTCCCAGCATCCCATATGGTCCCCCAAGCACCGCCAGGAGTTATTCCTGAGTGCAGAACTAGGAGGAACCCCTGTGCATTGCTGGGTGTAACCCAAAATGAAAAATAAATAAAAGAGAAATTCGGGTATTGGCGAGCCCCGCATGAGAGAAGCCAGATCCACCCGAGCAGCAGAGAACAGAGAGAAGGGGTTACCGTGACCATTGTGGGCTGGGGGACACGGCAGGGAGAGCCTTCAGCCCCGGGACCCCAGGAAGGGCATAAAAGGCACATGGGTGGGTCCCGGCAAACACTGAGCTCAGTGGGGTCTGGCCTCAGCCCTTGGGGTTCACGGAGACTGTAGGCACACATAGACCCCCCAGGGGCCTGGCAGAGACACAGGTGGGTCCCCTGCAGGGGAGAGAGTCCCTTCAGCCCCCATGTGCCCAGCACACAGACACGCACAGCCTGGCGTATGGCGGGAAGGGTTCCGGGAGAAAGCGCGTGGGAGGGCACTGCAGTGGGCACAGAGGGACGCAGGTTTTCAGGGCCTTGTCCATCGTCTGGGGCAGCCTGAAGGTCTGACGGGTGAGGTGGCCTGAATCAGAGGCTCTTCGAGGGGGGACACGGGTGCGGCAGGTCCAGTGACCGCATGCGGGTGATGTGCAGGGCTCACGACCGTTCCCTTAGGAGACCGGAACTGTCAGGTTTCATTTCAAAAATGGTACTTGCTGTCAGTCATCACAGAATGCAAAGAAACAAGAAGCCTGTGGAGATTCGGACATGATTGATGGGCTGACCTAAGTGGCACGTGTAGAACGCTTGGACTCAAGAACTGTGAACTGTATAGCATAGGGCCAAGGCCAGAGCAGGAGTCCAGCGGGCAGGGTGTTGTCTCTCACTCAGTTAACTCAGGTTTCATCCCCAGCACCCCATGTGGTCCACCGAGCCCTACCAGGAGTCAGGCCAGAGCACAGCAGGGTGTGCCCTCCACATTAAAAAAATACTGTTGGACCAGAGCGATAGCACCGCAGAGAGGACATTTGCCTTGCACGTGGCCGACCCAGGTTCAATCCCCAGCATCCCATATGGTCCCCTGGGCACTGTCAGGAGTAATTCCTGAGTGCATGAGCCAGGAGTAACCCCTGAGCATTGCTGAGTGTGACCCAAAGAGCAAAAAAAAATTTATAAAAAAATTAAGTATATATTTTTAAATATGTATATATTTTGGCTGGAGCAATAGCACAGTGGTAGGGCGTTTGCCTTGTATGTAGCCGGCCCAACCGAGCCGGATTCGATTCCTCCACCCCTCTCGGAAAGCTTCGAAAGCTATTCGTGACATATTCAACATGCCAGAAACAGTAACAAGAAGTCTCACGATTTGTTGTGCGACATTACTGGTGCCTGCTTGAGCAAATCAATGAACAACAGAAGGACAGTGCTACGTATATATTTTAAAATTTTATTTTCCCTTGCGTGTGTTGTTTTAACCAGGAGCGTTGGTCCTCACAGCCAAGTGCTCTGTTCTTTCGGGTCACTCTGTGTGTCCCCCCGGGGTCCAGCAGGGCCTCCCACACGGGGAGCTTGTGCCCAGCACTCTTGTCCATGATTGTTCCCTTTGAACGAGTTTTGTGACGAGCGGCTCTAGGACAGGGAGCTGCTTGGCGGTCGAGCCCCTGCCTTGCATGCGGGAGGTCCTGGGTTTGATCCCCAACACTGCAAGGTGCCCCCCTCCGCCCCCACAAATGCTCTTTCTGGAATGTGCCCACCAGGTGTGGCTGTGCCCCCAGAGTCTCTCCCAGACTCCTCCCCCTTTCCCAGAAATACAGCCCTGCACCGAGCCCTGCCTGCCAGACGTCTGCTCTGCCCCCGGCACCCATCTGGGCAGGAAGCCTGGCCCCGTCAGGGAAGCCGTGGGAGCCCGGAGCCTGGCCTCTGACGCTCTGTCTGTGTTTTGCTTCTAGGGCAGCCCTCGGGCCCGGGCTGCTACCATCCTCGGAGCTGGCATCTCCTGAGCCCCCGCAGCCGCAGGCCTCGGCCGAAGCGCCCTTTGCTGCCCGCGGGATGTACCCTGAGGAGATGCCATCGGTGGCCCGGCCTCGACCTGTCGGGGGAACCACAGGTACGTTTGCAGGCCAGAGGGGCACATCGGACTCCTGGGTGCCGGTGTCTTGTTCTGAGGCCTTGGCCCTTGTTTGCTCGGCTTTCTTGGGCACCACCTGGAGCCCTTGTCTGCCTCCAGGAGGGTTTGTGTTCTTGGAAGTGCATCTCCAGCCTGTAAGAAGTGGCAGCGAGGGCTGGGTGATAGTGCAGTGGGGAAGGCGTTTGCCTTGCACGCAGCCAACCCGTGTTTGAGCCCCAGCCTCCCATATGGTCCCCAAGCACCGCCAGGAGTGATCCTGAATGCAGAGCCAGGAGTAACCCCTGAGCATCGCCGGGTGTGACCCAAAAAGAAAACAAACGAAAAAACAGAACACGGACAGGGATGGGAGCCCCCGCGCCTCTGTGGTACTTGGCCCACTTTCTCTCTCTCTCTTGCCCCAGACAGCACTGTGGGGTCAAGTTCCCCTTCAGGTACCCATCTGAGGAGTGAGACCTGGGGCTGGGGGAGCGGTAGGCGAGTGCCCCCCCCCCCCCCGCCCACACCTCGAGCTTGTCAGTGTCCAGCAGGTGAACCCAGGCCAGCGGTGGGGGATCGGTTTGACCCATGGGGAAGTTCAAGCTCTGTCACTCGAGGGAAGACAGGAGCTAAGTTGGGGTCTTGGTCTGATCCCCATGTTGTGGTTTCCACCAGCTTCTCTCTCTGTGGCTGCCGGGGCCATTGGCAGGGGCGAGGGACCCTGCGCCAGGTTTACATCCGGCACTTGCTTGGTGCTGTGTCAGTGGGGCAGACCTTAATTACCGCACTGGCGGGAGGCACAGATAGAACATGGGGCCCGGCCCCGAGCTCCGAAGGAAACGGTGGGGATGTGGGGAGGTGGCTTCCCTCTCCCGGCCCTGCCTGGGCCCTCACATGAGCAGAGTGTGCCACCCTGAGACCGAGACCCTCCCTGGGTGCCACTGTGGCTGGGTGCGTGCTTGGCTCCCGTGAGGATCCCGGTTCCTGCCCCTGGCTCTCCCCCCCGCCCCCACAGCATCCCCCAGTTGTAGCTCTGATGGCCCAGGAGCGCCCCTGGGCTCGAGCGTCACTGACCATGCCCCCTATTTTTAAAAAAATAATCAGTTAATGGGGCCTGGAGCAATAGCATAGCGGGTAGGGCGTTTGCCTTGCACGCGGTCCGACCCGGGTTCAATTCCCAGCATCCCATATGGTCCCCCGAGCATGGCCAGGAGTGATTCCTGAGTGCAAAGCCAGGAGTAACCCCAGAGTATCGCCGGGTGTAACCCAAAAAGCAAAAAAAAAAAAAAAAAATCAGTTAAGACTTGAACTGACACCATTCCGAGGCCACGTGTGCGTGTTGACCTTATGAGGTCTGATAAACAGACGCCCGCCCGGGAGTGTCAGCAGCTTCTCTGGCTCCGTGAGGCTCAGAGCCATGAGCGAGAGGGGCTGGTTTCCATTGCTTGTGCCTCTGCGTTTTTTGCTCTTTTCCTTCTGAAGAACGAGCCTGTACTCTTCGGGTGGGGGCCACACCCAGCAGTGCTCAGGGCTCATGGCTGGTGGTACTGGGGAGCAATAGGAATGCCAGGGATGGAACGGGGGTCGGCCGCGTACACAGCCAGCAGCTTAGACCTGTGTTCCCGTTCGCGCCTCCCCCCCCATCCTCAGTTTACTCCCTGCACCTCCCAAGCAGCACCCAAGGAGCTGTGACGCCTGTTGCCTGGCCTCATAGTGCAGACTCCAGACGCTTGGGTCTAGCAGGTTCCCCAGGACAGCTGTGCCTGGTCATGGAGTTGACCCCTGCCTGTTGTGTGTCCCCCCCCACACCTCCCAGGCTCCCAGATCCAGCACCTGACGCAGGTGGGCATCGCCAGCAGGATCGCCGCACAGCCGGTGGAGATGGTACCCGGCCGCGGTGGCCAGTTCGGGGCAGCCGGCTGGGCCTCGTACGGGGAGGAGCCGGCGGGCCGCAGAGACGCTGTGAGTACCCGCTGGGGTGTGGGAAGTGGCCGCCTTGTCCCGGGTGTTGCCGCTGGTACTCTCATTTCATCATTGCCACGCTTGTGTTGGGGGATTACTCCTGGCTCTGTGCTCACTCTCCAGTTCCGGCTCTCTAAAACCTGCAGGACTGACTCGGGGGCGTTTTGATTCACTGGGGTGAGGAGGCCTGGGGCTCCTGTGTGTGTGTGTGTGTGTGTGTGTGTGTGTGTGTGTGTGTGTGTGTGTGTGCAGGGCGGGTGTGAGCACTCCTATGTACCCCTGCGTCTCCCGGGGAGCCTTGGCGGGGAGGCGGCCGTCTTCCCAGGCCCATGTCAGGCTTGCTAGGGAAAAAAAACACGTCTCTGCTCTGGGATGGGAGCCCTAGTACAGCAGGACCGGCGCTGCCTCAGCACTCCTCACCCTGCCTCACCCCTGGCACCCCGCAGGGCCCCCCAGCCCCACCTGGAGCCAGCCCTGCACACCACTGGGTGTGGACCGGAAACAAAGTCTCTACCTTTTGGTTTTATATAGAGCCTCCTGCTGTCCGCAGGGCCTGTGCTCTGCCACAGCCGCCCCTGAGCCCCGCACCTGTCCTCTTCGGGGCCTTTGTACCTCCCTGACGTGCCCCATCCTCTGGCCCTCCCGCCTCCTTCCTGTTCCCAGCGGGATGCTCGCTTGCCGCCGTGCTCTCTGCAGCGGCCTCTGCCTCTCTGCCTCCAGAACCCCGTACTCAGTGTCTGTGCCCCTCTAGGGTTTGTCTCGAGGGCAGAGAGGGGCTTTGACTGCGCCTCCCAGTGCTCCCAGCTCTGGGCTTGGGGTGACTCCTGTGGCACTCAGGAACCATGTGGTGCCAAGGATGGAAGCCAAGGATGCCCCTTCCCTGCAGAGCACGCAGCCCCCTGAGCCATCTCCCGGCCGAGGGCCCCGTCTGTCCCCTGCCTTCCCTTGGACCGTGAAGGCCATTCCAGCCCAGCCCGCACCGGAGGGCTGAGGTGTCGGGGCTGGGCGGCGGGAGCAGGGGAATTTCTGGGAGCCAGCCCCGCACCCCCCTTCCCTGCTCTCCCGTCTCCTCACCCCAACTGGGACGCTTGCCGTGTTTTGCAGACACACATGCTGGGACCACAGGAGTATCCGTCTTCGCCGCTGTTCCAGGTGCCAAGGACTTCGGGCCGGGAGCCCTCGGCTCCCCCCGGGAACCCGCCGCCGCCGCGGGGGCTGGCCTACCCCACCAGCTCCACGGAGGACCTGCAGCCCGGCCACTCCTCGGCCTCCCTCATCAAAGCCATCCGCGAGGAGCTGCTGCGGCTCTCCCAGAAGCAGGGCGCCGTGCAGAACTTCCACAGCTGAGCGCCGCGGCCCAGCCGCCCACTATCTGCTTCCCGTGGAAGCAAGAGCGGACGGGGTGGGGGCAGTCAGGGGAGGACCCCTGGCCAGCGGCGCCAGCCAACCCCGGGGCCCGGCCCGGCCCGGCCCGGCTCCCGAGGCTTCTGCAGATCCGAGACGCGGAGTCTTTGGTTGGTCCTTTTGGCCAGAGGCCGGCAGCGACTGCCACAGGAACGGGGCCGAGACTGAGGGGCTCCTTCAAAGGCAGACGAGGACGAGGGGGCGAAGGTGACGGAAACCCCAGCAGGGCAGGCCCCGGGCTGGCTGGACGAGGACCTGCCCCTGGGTTCGCTGAGAAGGGGATTTGAAGACATTCCGCCTCCGTAGGAACTGACTCTCCTGGGACTGCGTAACTGCACCTGTTTGGGGAAGCGGAGAAGCACCTCGTGAGAAACCAAAACCTCGACGGCCGCCCGCGTACTCTCTTCTTCCGGTGCTGCTCCAGCCCCCGCCGCCTGTGACATGGGCTTTTCCATGGGCGAGGATGTCGCAGGGTTCGTTTTTGTCTAGAAAGAGAGAAAGGGGGAAAGGAGAACGCCCAAATTGGGGGCGGGGGAGGGGTGGGGGGAAACAGCAATTAATATTTATTTGGTCGTCCCAAATACAGACGGAAGTTTAGATTCACCTTCTTAGTCGTATTTGCTGTTCATTAGCTGAGCGTGGGGGACCCCGTTCTGCTTACCGCGCACTGCTGCTGCCCGGCACGTGGCCGAGTGCCCACCCTCGGGCCAGTCAAACTCATGTCCCGGAACCCGAGGACCAGCCTGAGGTTGGTTATCCCCACCCAGGCCCCCTCCCTCACCCCCTTCCTCAGGTCCAGAACCTTGGGGCACCACTGAGCTTACTGGTGCTTTCCTGCGAGGGACAGCGTAAAGGGAGGTGGGCCCACGAGACACGGGCACGAGGGTCCCTACGCTTGCGCCGTGCACGGCCAGGCCGGTGATGTGACAACGCACCTCAGTCTTGGCGCAGGGGCTGCGGTGGTGGGGGCGTCTCACGGAGGCTTCTGCCTCACCTGAGACCTTCGCCGCAGACTCGGGAATAGTACGATCAGAGCCTCCTCCTGCCCAGCACAGAGACGAGGAAGGCTTAGGTTTCCACAGCGGACCGTCAGCCGTGAGGTCAGTGAATGCTGAATTCAAGAAGATGAGAGGCAGAATCGGGGGCTTGGTCCAGATCTATGTCCAATTTTAAGAACCCCCAAGCTATTAAGACGGGTTCCCAAACTGTCGTCTTTGGGCACCAGATTCTTGAGTCAGCGTGTTGAGGCACTCAGAGAAGGCAGCTGGTCCCGTCAGCACGCCCCGAAGCGGCAGGGGGGGCGGGGGGATACAGCAGCCTCAGACCCCAACTCTCCCCTGGCTGGTTCCTCTCCTCTGTGCCCGGTGTCCTCACAGTGGGAGGGTCCCTGGGGCCCTCTCACAAACCCCAGGGGCCCCGAGTGCTAACAGAGCTAAGGATCCCCAAGCAGAGTTTTGTTCCAGGTTCCTTGCAGTGACTTGAAGCTGTGGGGCACGTGGGGTTTGTGTGTGTGTGTGTGTGTCTGTTGAGCAAGCACATTTGCTGCACACGTGACTGGAACAGGCCTCCGGAAGTGGATGCCTCAAGCCACATAAAGGGATTCTCGTCGTCTCGTTCTTCCAACCGAGCACTGACACTGCGCAGTTGTCAAGACCAAAGGTGACACATACGTGTGGGCAGGCCTGTGCCTCCCTGTGCCCTGTGTTGTCCCGTCTTCCTCCCACACCTCTGCTGCCTCTGTCCGGGTCACCAGGCTCAGACCTGACTGGCCGTGGGGGGCAGTAGCCACCCCCCAGCGATCTTCAGACCCTCAGTGAATAGAGGGTGTGTGGACACAAGCTCCCGTCCACCGGGCATGGCTTGGGTGTTCACATATTGAAGCGCTTCGGATGTCTCTCCAGTGCAGAGACAGCAACAGCTACTCCGCTTCTCACCTGCCTCCAAGAGTTCTGGCGGTTGTGAATTGGGATCAGTTCTGGGGCTATCAGGGTGAAGGGTGGAACCCAGAGCCCCCCTGTTACGCAGACTCTGGGTTAGGACCCTCTTCGGTGCCTCACTCCAACACCAGCCAGGTGAGAGTCACTGAGCATGGACACATGCACACGCACACACACGTGCACGCACACACATACGCACACATGCACACACACACAAACACGTACATACACACGTGAGGCCCATGTGCACACCTCATTGGAGGAAGGAGCCCAGAACTGGGCAATGGGGAACGTCACCTCACCTGGCCAGTGCTCTACACTGACTTCCGGCAGGCGAGGGCCAGGGGTGGTTAATTCAACGTCCCAGGGACTCCCCAGCTCTGTTTGGCTTTAGGTTCCTGTCATTTCTGTCACTGGGAGCCTCCTCTCTCCTGGCATTCTGCCGGCCCCAGCGCCGCATGCATCAACAGACAGGAAGCTGCCTTCCGAGCTGCAAGTCGGCACTGGGAGGGTGTAAAAGAGAATGCAGGTGGGCATCAGGGTTAGAGCTGCAGGAGTCGGGCGCAGAAGCAGCAGCATCAGTTCCTGCTGAAGGGTGCTAGAAGGGGCTGAAGGGCTTGGGAGAAGGGGGAGATGCGTATCAAGAGATGGGTCTTGGGGAGAGGCAGCGTCAGGTCTTGTTGTCATGGCGACCGAGGTGTGGTCCAGCAGGGGGTGAGGGACTGGGAAGAGCCAAAAGGGGCCAGGAAAGCTGCAGCAAGTAACCCCGCCCCCGAGTGCACTTGATCCGTCCTTTGGGGGTGCGGGGGCTGCCCTCACTACATGGCTGAGTGAGTTTAACTCTAGGATGAGGGTGGGATCGGAGAATAGAGCAGTCCAGCGGGGCCTGGCCTGGTCTGTGGAGCAGAGCGTCGGCTCAGTAAGTCTCGACGTCTGCCCAGCTCTGCATCTCCCTTCAGAGTGAGAGGGATCCAGTGGCAGGTCAGTGGGTGAGACCCCGGGAGCAGGGCCAAGGGGATGTTTCCCAGGGGAGCTTTGGGGCTACCGTTGGCGCTTCTGGGCTTCAGGGCCTCCGTGGAACTGGAGTCCCAGCTCCTGCCCTCCCTTGCACCTCTGCACAGTGCTCCTGCAAGCCAGCCACTCCCGGGGCTCCCGCTTGCTTTCATGGCGAGGCCCAAGTTCACAGTTATATAAACTCACCTGCCCTTTTGGTCGAGGTTCTTTGACGTGGGTGGATCTGTTGTTTGAAAGGTTGGGATGGATTTGCTGGTTACGGTTCTGGGCCGGGGGCAAAGGGCAAGAAACGGTCTCACTTTTGCCTCCAAGAGTGAGTCTCCAAAGCCAATGTTCAGAACCTGCCGAGCCACCTGGGTCCTGGGCAGGGGTGGCCCTGCCACTCGGTCCCTGAGGAGGGAGCACCTGGGCTCCATCCTTCCTTCTCTTCACCCATGCCCAGCATTCTGGCCCCAGGTGAGGAGGAGCTCAGACATCATCAGCACATGGCCTATCACCTTGGGGATGCCGGGCATGTGGGTTTCGTGTTTGTTTTTATCTCTTAGAGCTGATTCTTCCTGTCGGGCAAGGGGCTCCTTTCTCCAGTTTTGAAAAAGACTTGGAAACGGGACTCTCATGGTACAACCCTCATTCCATACCCTCATTCCATTCCATTCCATACCTGTTAACAGTGTACATGACCTCTGACCTTAACACACAGCAGCACTGACATTCAGGTTGGTTCGTTGCCTTGGGAGGCACCAAGCACCGAGGAACCAACGAGTGAACAGGGAAGGAGCGAATGTCTATCGTTGGCGCGCATCCAAATTCCTTTCCCACTCTGGTAGATCAGGATGAAGCTCCTTGCCTTTTCCCCTTTTGTCTCCATTATTATTATTATTATTATTATTATTATTATTATTATTATTTTGGTGGGGGAAGGAGTGGTAAGGGTCCACTTCACATTTAAGAAAGAATAGGCATTTTTTTTAAAAGGGGGGGATGGAGGTACTAGAGCAATAGTATAGCGGGTTGGGCACTTGTCTTGTATGCAGCCAACCTGGGTTTCATCCTTGGTACCACATAATGTCCCCCCTGCCCCACCTGGAGTGATTCCCGAGTGCAGAGCCAGGAGTAAGCCCTGAGCAATGCCAGGTGTGGCCCCCAAAACAAATATATAAAGGATCTGGGTCCGCAGAATCCCCCCCGACACTGAGGAGTGTCATGAATGGTTTCATCTCATGCCTCTGGACTGTGGGCATTCATGGTTGGAGCCCCTGACATGCCAGTTTGGGAGCAGGACAGGGCCAGGGTCTAACCTCCTTCCTGGTCCTTTTCCTCCTGCAGATGCAGGGGAAAGGAGGAGGCGGCATTACTCAACCAACCTCGGAGGATGTGTTTCAGGAAAGGGACCTCTTCTCTTTTTCCTTGGGGGGAGTCACACCCAGTGATACTCAAGAGTTAACTCCTGGCTCTGCACTCAGAAATCACTCCTGGGATTGCTCAGGGGATGCTGGGGATTGAACTCTGGTTAGCTCTGTACAAGGCAAACGTCCAACCTGCTATACTATTGCCCCGGCCTTTGGAGGCCTGTCCTCTGACCATCACCTAGATCAGCATTTCCCAGTTGGGGCTCTGGGAAATTCCAGAGGGCTGCTGGTAAAAATTGCATCGGTACTTTGGAGGGGGAAGGTAGCAGGAGACTGGAGGAAACCGGTAGGACGGAGTCCCCAGGAAGGAAACAAGGTCTGAAGGTGGCCACGTGGGAAGGGCGCTCGGGACCAAGGCGGGCTGGGCTGCCCCAAGTACCACCTGCCGCCTCCCGCATGGCCCAGGTAGACCCAGGTTCTTCTGGCTCTTCCTGTGCGCTCACATCCGAAAATGCGCAGAGCGAAACTCAGGCACCAAGACTGTGGCTTGCACGTGACAATCATGGTTTGCTGATCTCACACGGGCACTTCTGTTTCCGCCTGGGTGTTTGGTTTCGCAGTCGAGCCCTCCCTCCTTGTGTGTCCGTTCTGTCTCTCTCCTCCGATGAGCTGCACTGTTTTCTGATGTGCTATAGAGTTTTGGAAATGATTGATGCCAG